TGTTTGAGCTATTTTTCAGGAATTAGAACCCCTCATCCACTTCAGGCTAGTTAAGACCACCAACCCAGCAACTGGGCCCATGGAGATGCCCATAAGTGATCTTTGACGTCAGGAGACTAAAACTCCACCCTCACCTCATGCTAATGTCACCATTTTGTGAACATGCGCCCTATGAAGAGGCATGGAGTCTGACTATGCCTGTGCAGATCATCAATTACCTCACCTCTCCTCACCTCCAATCACCTCTCTCCACATTTCAGACCACCTTACCCCTCTATCCCATAAATATCCCTGAGTCCCCATTTTTTGGAGGCAGATTTGAGACTCATTCTCCTCACTTGGCTGCCTTGTGCTTAAACACTCTCTCTGCTGCAATCTTGTCATCTCAGTGTTTGGCTTTCTGGGTGACAGGCAAAAATGAACCTGTTTCAGTAAGTATCACTTTTTATGACCTATTAGCATATAGCAGAAATGTCATATAGCATAACTTCTGCTGCATAGTATTAATTCAGGCAGTCTTAAAGTTCTGCCCAGGTTGATTTCGCCTTTTGATGGGGGATTGGCAAGATTCTGGAAGAGCACATGGGACAGGAAATGTTGCAGTTACAGACATTTTTAGCAAATACAGTCTGTCATATCTGTCTTTCCAGACTTGCTCATCCCAACATTTCTTAGCCCATTTTCCAACAGAACAACTATTCTCTAGTGGTTCTCAACTGGGAATGATTTTGCCACCAGGGGACATTTGGTGATGCCTGGAGACATTTTTTTGTGGTCATGACTGGGGGGTGAGTGTTATTAGCATCTAGTAGGTAGAGACCAGGGATGCTGTTAAACATCCTGATATATTTGACAGTCCCAAACCACAAAGAATTATCCAGCCCAAAATGTCAACAGTCTCAAGATTGAGAAACCTTGCCTCAGATTAAGTAAGAACCACTTGATTAATCCTATTTCACCCCAAACCATACTATGCTTTCTGTAAATTATCTCTAAATTCAAGTTGGTTGAGAGTAGGCTCTTTGTGGTAATGTTTCTGCATAGCTGCTGGATATTCTGCAGATGCTGAGATCATAGTATTACTGTTTTAGTGTCAAATCCATTCCATTCAATTACTATGTTGAATTATGGGTATTTTGTCTCAGTCAGGAAAAGGTGTAAACCAATGTTCTAGAATCATTGTAACAAGAATGACTATCCAAACACTGAGTAGTTAATGTCGGGAGAAAATGAGGCAAAGACAAGCAGAGGGCACAGGGAGTACTGCATTGTCTCCCTGGTTGCTCAATTAACTGCTCCTGGAAGACATATGCTAAAGATTTGGGGCACCAAATACTCAGTTACAGCCAACATCTGGCCTCTGCTGAGAATTCCTCTAGGCTCACCTTCTACCTTTTGATTCCAAACTTGTCCACACATTGACTTCTCTCTTCCCATTTAGCCCCACTGGAATTTGTTAATCCAGTTTCAGGCTACCTCTCTTGGATCTGATGAGGTAATCCCAGACACAGTTTCTCTAGCATCTTAGCTGCACACATTATGGGAACTTATCTGAGAGACTGACCCCTTAAAGCCCACTCAGGTTCACAGGCACCCACAGTGAGTCTTCCTATCCAGGAAATGAGACTACAAACAGGGAGAAGGTTCTGACACGGGAGCTCAGGTGGTCACGTCATTATTACCTACACAACCACAAAAAATTGTGCCATAAATGATCAGAGCAGGGGGCAATCCAAAACTATCTACATTTGATTCCAAATGCACGATGATGTTACAGCATAGTTTATGTTCTTAATTATGTTTAGCTGAGACTAATAATAATTAAATTTCAGTTTCTTTCCTAGAGCAGACACTATTTGGGTAGTGAGGCCAGTGAACATGTATGGAAAACAGAATTGAGAGGAGAGAGAAAGTATTTTAATTATCTTTACTACAGATAATTCATCAACTTTCTAATAATCATGCTACAAAGAGTGGGCATTGCCTGTAAATAAACGACTAAGTATTTCAAGAATTTTACAGTTCCTGAAGTCAGAAACCCTTGAGAGCATGTAGGAGACTGAGTCATTTAACCTGAAGCAGTTTGTATAATAGTTAAGAGCTGAATTCCAGTACCAGTTCTTTCATTTAGTAACTGCTTGACTTAAGACAAGTTTCTGATACTTCTGAGCCAGTTTCCTGGGATATTATTTTTAAAGCCCTCTCAGTATAACACCACTAGATTTTGGATAAATTGCAAATAAAAAAAAAATCCAAATCTTTTTAGCATATTATTTCATTCCCAAGAAAGTTAAGAAAAATCCCCCACTGCCAAATAATAATAATAACAATGATAATAATAATAATGAAGTAGCCATCAGCAGAAACTGAGTGGTAAGTGGTCAGCAGTCAAGAAGACCAGAGTTGTGTTTGTGGTAAATGTCAATGCCCCAGGCCAGGAGAATGGGAGGCTATGGCCCACACAGGCTGGACTCAAGACTTTTGAAGTAAGCCAAAAGGGGCTATACCCTTAGTAAAAAATTGGGATCCAAAAAATTGTCAGCAAATGAAGCTTAGCAGAAACCCACCTGTCTCCACAAAGGTTCTGGATGAAACAAGATTAATAAAGATAATAACGATAACAATAGTAATCTCCCTCGACAGTTAAAAATACCCTTTCACTTAGGTCTGGAATTAGGTTGAAAGCTAAAGATCTAAAAATATAGCCTAATAAATCAAAAAAATAACCCCACAGGGGTCATCCTGGTGGCACAGTGGTTAAGTTCCCATGCTCTGATTTGATGGCCAGGGGTTCGTAGGTTCAGACCCCTGGCATGGACCTAGCACCACTTCTCAAGCCACGCTGTGGTGGCATCCCATATAGAATAGAGAAAGACTGGCACAGATATTAGCTCAGCGACAATCTTCCTCAAGCAAAAAGAGGAATATTAGCAACAAATGTTAGCTCAGGGCCAATCTTCCTCACAAAAAATTTTAAAAGATAACACAAAATAAATCCAAAGACATAGATGATATATACACACACATAAACACACATATTCTTAATGACTGGGGGCGTTTGGAAGAAGTTCCTTTAAAACAAGAATGGTAAAGACTCTTGGAATCAAACCATTTGGATTCAAATTTTAAATTTGCTATTATCCACTTGTATGACTTCAGGCAAGTTAAAAAGAAAACTTCTGTGTCCTTTAGTTTCCTCACCTGTAAAATGGAATAGTGATACCATCTACCTCATGGGTTATTGTGAGGACTAAACAAACCAATATATCTAAAACACTTAGATTCTACAGAGCAAATACTTATGTGTTCACTGTTAAGATTACCATTGTTGCCTCTATTCAACATTGTACCAAGGACCTAGACTGCATCCTCAGACAAGAAAGGAGTGTCATTATTCACACATGATGGCTGACTCCACAGATCATTCAAAAAGCATCTTGAGAAAATTTGTCAGAATTAGAATTAATTTGAATGCATTTATTATTACAGAATTTATTATTATGGAATTAATATAAATTTATTAGAATTAGTAAGAAGGTTTAGCATAGTGGCTAGCTATAAGAGCATTATACAAAAGGCACTGATCATGGTTAGGAAATTCAATTCAGCAAAGTATATTAAAAACACTTTCTTATGACTGAGTTCAATTTAACTCAGAAATGCAGTTTTACTATGAGAAATGCTTTTACTTGCATGAATTATCAATATTTATGTTTATAAGGTGTCAAAGTTTGAGAAACACATCTTAGATAATTGTGGGAATTCACTAAAAATGGCACAAAGTGAGTGATGATGCATAATTGTATTTATTGTTAATTACCTCAAAATGAAATGAAATTAACACAGTTGATACCCTTTTTTCCCCTTCTACCATTAAACTGAAGTAGCGTCTTGGTCTACTTTCTTCCTACTGTAGTTACATAAAAAGGCATGAATTATATAAACATGCTTCATATACTTTCAAATTGTATTTGCTCTTCAACACTTTTAACCACAATGTAACATTCCCTCATCAGAGTAAACTACTTAACTTCTCAAGGTTCTTTCCATACCATAAATTATCTTATTCATATAACTATAAGACTACTAATGGATTTCTGGAATCATATCCCAAGAAATAGTAAAGATCACCTTCTTCAGAATTTAAAAATGAAATACAGTAAGAGGACCATTCACAGACAAATGATACTATCTCATACACTAAAGCCTGTGATTAATCCACATTTTATACTATAAAAAAAGTGACATTTTAATGAGGTAATAAAATAAACTAAAACCACAGAAATAATTAACTGTAAGAAAACATTTTACAATAGTTTATTTTAATCAAAATTACACTGATAAAGCATATCTAACAAAATCCTAGGCAAACTCCTCTGCTGTATAATGTAACTTTATTATATTCGGTGTCACTGATGTTGATTACATGGCTAACATTATTAACAAAGGACTTTCAACATTTTCATCCTTAAGTAGAACCTTCATTTAAAAACTATTAGCCTATATTATTCATATATACCCCACCAACTTCTGGAATTAGTGGATAATTTTTCTACTTAGAATGTCATTTCAAGCTTTATTACTTAAGGGCTTATTGTAAGATACAGCCTTTCGAGGTCAACACAATTGCAGGTTGATTTGAAGAGGATCTAACAGAAAAAGCTAATTTCAAAAGACTTAAAAAGAAAACTGAAAAACCAATATGCAAAATTAGTTTCAAAATAGTGCAATTAATAGAAATCAATCATTTGAAAATATTTATTTCCCCCATATATTTAAACTATTGAAGGGAAAAAGCATTTGGCACTAAAGTTGCTTGTTAGTTTCTTCATAAATCAAACAATAATTTAATGCCTGTTTCTATATTCACATTAAATATTTTTCAATCAATAGTTTAAACACAATAAGAATATACTAAAAATTGTACAAGGCAGGTAATCTTGAAACAGAAATAGATTATTTCAGATAACTAAAAGATGAAAAGTGGTGACAGCATTTACCATTTGCTCCCTCTTGTATTTTAGGTTGATGATTTATTTGCATTTCTGTAAAAATAAAAGTGAAGTGCAGTTAATAATAGATCTGTCTGATGACATTATAACTGGGAGAAAAAGAAGTATGTGTTAACTCTTCAATGGCAGCAAATCCTTAGGTTGATTTTTAACTTACAGTAGGTCATACAACATTGCCAAGACATATCTTTACATATGCTTTTATTTTCACTGTGAGGAATAACTATAAATCTGATGTGAAGCGTAAACTATCAAAGGGGACATTCTGGGGGAAACTGAGGAATATTCCGTGATGTCCAGTTGTATCAAAATCAACTTGTACTTTCTTCTACTAGAGGTTTCATTAATTCTCACCTTGAAGAAAAAGTTCGATTTCTGAATGAATTATTCCCTGAGACATAAAGGGAAGCCATCTGAGAAAAAGAAAGGAAAAAAAAGAGAGAAGAAAAGAAGAGAAAATTAATTTTTGTTTTTCTTAATTTTTACAGTAAGCTTGACTCTGCATTAATTTTGGACTTTAAAAGGTAACTATAAAAATGGCTTTTTATAAAGTGAAACACAATCAAATCTACTGTGTACTCATCATTGCGGTAAAAATGCTATCATAACTGTGGCTTTAGGAATAAAATATATAAATTGCTAAACCTGCTAACCATCCACCTCTCCAGGTACTTAAGTCCTCAGCCACTAACACTTGCAAACATAACTGGGGCTCCAGCAGAGCACGCCCCCCCACCAAGATGTAAGAAAGGCCAGGACATGTCTAAGACTTCGAGCCTGATACCAGGGCTAAGCTAGAAAGTCTGTTTGCCCATGGTTTTGAGGGAAATTTGGCACAGAAAAATAAGTTCCACCATTTTAATACATCCTCCATGAGGGTCTCTGTTTTGCTTTCACATAGCTTCCTTTAATGTCTTTTCCTCAGTGTCTCCAAAAAGAATCATATTACCTTAAAATTTGGTGAAAATATTAACACTTTGGAAAATGTGCTTAGGGTGAGTAATAGCTCATCCTAGCAGCTTTCGTCAAAACCAGCCAAACGTCTGTGTTAGAAGCTCCTTGTTGCAGAAAAAGCCAAGGCAGAACTCAGAAAACCAACTTTACCACTTACTGGCTTTGTGATATTACCCTCTTGAAGCTTGGTTTCTTTGACTAATTTACCTACCTCACCGAGCAGTTGTGAAGCTGAAATGAATAGTCATATAAAAATATTCTATGAACTACTGAGTAGTACATAAATGTTATCATTATACCACAATGACCACAGCTATTGTTTTCCCATATTCAAACATATTTCCACTCCTTCCGTCCATCCATCCATTCAATAAGCATTTAGAAAGTGCCTCTGGGTGCCAGGCACTTTGGTAGATATTAGGGATACACGAAGAACAACAGAGAGAAGGAGCTGAGCTGAAGGAGTATTCTTTCAGTGCAAAAGAATGAAATAGATGTGTAAAGGTATAAATGTAGAAAGTGTTGTAGGTGATGTAAGAAACACTTACAGATATCATGGGAGTAGAAAAGGAGACTGACCAACTCTGAATGACAAGAATAGGGAAGTACAAAGGAATGAAGAACAAACAAATTTCAACAATGAGGTAATATTTGGGCTGAAGGTTGGACAGTAAGTAGATGTTTGACAGGCAAACGAGGTCAGGAAGGGCACCGTAGGGAGAGAGAATAGCATTGGCAAAGATACAGAGATGAGATTCAGCTTGGCTGAAGTACAGGAGGCTGCTGGAAAAGACACAGAAGAATGGGCCCCATGTGAGGTTACTGAAGGGGAAGTCGTTGGATCTGAGAATGTCAAGGACTTCAGAGATTGAGCTGTGGGACACGCTCTACCACATTGGCCTTGAAATCACCAGATGATGCTAACAGGTAGGCTATAAAGGTGAACTGTGAGCTCACACTGTTCTGCCAGGACCACTCATTTCTCCATTTTTCAAAAGCTATGAGAGATCCCATTTCCTTCTGACTACTTCAGCTCACAGTGTTCTTTCCCTTCTTCCTCTGGAATCTAACAATACCTGTAATTTATTTTATGCATTTATTTAGCCCTTAATTATACAATCTTGTTTTCTTTTCGTTTATGTATCCCATCTTTGAAGCTAGACAGTTATCTCTATAATTTTCTTTACATGCCAGAACAAAGGAGCTCAGCTTTATGTTTAAGAACTAGGCCCTAGATTTCACATGGAGTCAGACTGTCTGGCTTCAACACTGGTTAGTGACCCATGTTCTTGATCTCTCTAAGCCTTGATTTCCTCATTTGTAAAGTATAGATGATAACAGTACCTACACAATAAGGATACCGGATTAAATACATATAAGTTTATCATGGTATCTTACCTGTGACAAACGGTCAATAAATATCAGTTACTATTGTATTTTCTCATTGCCCACACAGTATTTCGTACATAGTTGGCATTATAGCAAATATATTTGAGGTGATTGCCGTCCTCCCATCTTTTCAAATGTGACATGAAGAGGTAGGCCTTGGATAGCGATGTTTGTGTCAGAAGATCTGTCTCTTATCCTAGCTGATGGGAGCAGAGATGCACACCTAACCCAGGCTTAGTCAATCAGATGTTCTCTCTTAATATTTTGACCTAAGAGATACACAAACTGTGATCAGATGGCACTGCACATGGAGGTGTCGCAGTACCTGCATTGCTGAGGCCAGTTGGTACTCTGGAACCCAAAGCTAGCTGCAAACCAAAGATATGAGAGAGAAGAGCCTCCAGAAGAAGCTGGTCTATAGAGAGAAGGAGGAAGATTTTCAATGAAGAGACACCTTGAAAATCCAGAGAGTAACTGGCTCTCTGATGACTTTCTAACTTATAATGTCTAGTTTTATGCCTTAAAGCTGGGTTCCATAAGAGTCACCTTCAAAAATGCCTTTCCTAAATTAGCTTGAGTGAATCTCTCATCCTTACAACCAAACGAGGGTTTATCGACAGATTGATTGATATAAATATCATACTCTAGCCTTGTCTTTGTTTAGTCCATTTATGGAAAGTCTCTTCTATGATTTCTCTTTTTTCAGAAGATACTGGAGTAAAGCAAAGCTATGATCCTGAAAGTCAGAGACTTTTGAGTAGTGGATACCTATTAAAAATAGTTCCCTATTGATTGCTCTAGGTTCAGATTTCTTAAAAACTTGAAATCATCAAGTCTATTAGCTTTTAATTCCCTTCAGTGGCCAACATTTCTATGGAATTTTTAAAAAATAGTTTTATACAGCCATCAGATCTTTACTCATGAGCCATTTCTAATGACTAGAACCAGACAGATTTTAGTTGCTCTAGGTGACAGTTATTTGCAGCACACCCATGTTTTTGTCTGTATATATGCCTATATCTGTCTGCCTAGGCATGTGTCCACACCCATCCTTTAATTTCTGTCCCATAACGTGCTGCAAAAGAAGCTGAGAGAACTAGACAGGGCTAGTTGTTGAGGATTGTGAACTTTGTTTTTGCATCAGCACAGGAAAATTTCCCCCAAGCCAGTGAACAGATGGGGGTATTGGAGCAGTATGGCTTGAGAGAAGCATGATGACATTAAAGGAATGGAACAAAAAGCAAGCAGGAGGAACTTGCTTGCCCAAAAACACCATACACACTACGCACACCAGCAAAAGCAAGCTTAAATACCCCCAGATTACCACCCTTTCACTAGGCTAAACAGGAAACACAAATACAGAAACAACAAAAATTTTTCTCTAGTCTTTTAAGATTAAAGTAGACAATCAAGGAATGTGTTTGAGTGATCTTGCCCTAAAAGATGTGGGCTGTTTTTGGTGGGGAAGAGGCATAAAAAGATGACATAGATTAGATTTTGTCTGAGATACATTTTAGATATGGCAACCACTCATTCACATTGAGAATGGCAGAAGAAATACTAAATGCTTATAAGAAGGTTCTGTGTCTCCACCCCCATCCCGAAAAATGAGCAAGACTCATCCCTGCGCCTCATTCTGTCAGTTTCCCACCATCACTACTTGTCACTTTCGCACCAAGGAATGGTTCAAACTGACAAAGAAAAGCACAGAAACCTGCAGTAGCACAAATACATGCTCAGAATAGCAAGAAATGATTAATAGTGGCCTCTTTCAGGAAAAAAAAATCAGTAAAGTTAAATGATTGCTCACTGTCTCATGATAATTTTTATTATTCTCTTCTCCCTATAAAAATAGTATTTTACATTTCCGTACTTTATCAAACTTTCAACATCCTTTCTTATCTATGTTATTCATCATTTTTCCCTATTTCTCAGAAAGGGAAAATAAAACCATTGGGACATAGGCTGAATTATTTTGAAAATAAACACATACATAAACAATTTTTAATGACACATCTGAGGATGTTATGGAGGGAACTCATGCATGACCTCTAAGGTTTCTTCTAACCTGGGATTCCATTGTGTTTTTTATTAGTTCCTTCCTCTCTCCCTCCCTTCCTTTTTTGTAATACTAGCCAAGTCCTTACATGGTACAAGAAACCATGCTGGATGATAAAAACAAATGTATAAGACCCTATCCCTAAGAAGCTTACCATTTAGTACATGAGACAAACATGTTCTAAAACAATGACATTTCAATAAGGATTTCAATAAGCAGAGGAAAGAATAAAATGTGACATGAAGTAAGAGAGTATTAATGTCCCTGGAGAATGTCTAGAGAAGGGAGCAAGACATACTTCATTGGGGAGAATTGGAAGAGAGGCCTAGAAAAGTTGATTGTCAGGAAAGAGGGGTAAATTCATTTTAAACCTGGCACCACAAACTAACACCTTCACACATAGCTGGCTTAGGTGTAAAAGTTCCCTTGTCAACTGTAGTTATGCAAAAGAAAGACGCAGTTAAAACTGGCTGCCCCTGGTTCTTTTCCTGACCCTCTCCACAAATGATATATTCAGTCCTGCTCTGTATATGGCTTAGTTTATGAGTTATTTACAAATTCACCAATTTAGCACACACTTCCTAAGCACCTACTGCATTCTGCTGTAGGTTTGCCCTGTGGACACTGAAGGTCTTTGATTACAACCTTCTAATGGCATGGACCTTCCTGTGTGATTTCCTTGGAACAACAACCAGAGCTGGCACAAAACAGTTAAGCAAGGAAAATGCTTTGTGAATAATAATGACAGAACGGTGGAGAGGTGATTATCAGCCTTGCTTCTGTTTAAGAATCTCTGTATCAAGATGCAGTCCTGCTGGTGCTTGAAGCCACAGAGCAGGAGCTGTAGAAAACGTACCCTTCTCTGCCAGAGAGTGAAGATAGAGAAGTCCCCAGTGTGCTTGATCAACCAGTAACTTTAGTTTTTCAAGACTGATATATCCCGAGACAAATAAACCATCTTTTGCTTAACAATCTATACCAGTGGGACATTTGGCTTTTTTTTTAAACTCC